TGGTGCTGCCCCCTCTCTGGGGCTTGCTGTGCCCAACTTGGGCTTCTTGGTCATGCGACCCCCCTTCTGGGGCTCGCTGTGCCTGACTTGGGCGTTTTGATAAGATGGCCCCCTTTCTGGGGCTCGCCATGCCCAACTTGGGCCTCTCAATAAGTTGGCCCCCCTTTCTGGGGCTCTGTGCGCCCACCTTGGCCTTCGAATACTGCCCCCCTATCTGGGGCTCACTGTGCCCCACTTGGGCTTCGCAATCATGCAACCCCCCTCTCTGGGGCTCGCCATGCCCCACTTGGGCTTCTCCGTAGTTGCCCCCTTCCTGGGGCTCACTGTGCCCAACTTGGGCTTCCCAAATAAATGCGGACCCCTATCAGGGGCTCCCAGTGCCCAGACTTGGGCTTCCCAATGTGGTCCCCCTTTCTGGGGCTCACTGTGCCCAACTTGGGCTTCTCAATAATGCCCCCCCTCTTTGGGGCTCGCCATGCCCGCACTGGGGCTTCTCAAATGCCCCTCTCTGGGGCCGGGGTCTATGTACCCCATGTGCTGCGCCCGCTGGCTCTGGGGTCCTCACACTCCTCTGTGAGTCCCCTATGAGGCCTCCTCCAACCCCTAATAGCCTCACCCAAACCACCGGTTTTAACAAACAGCAAACACAAACTTGAGCCTCCTGGCTATAACTCAAATGGAAGCCGCCTGGCTACAACAACATTGCTCAACTCCAGTCAAGCGGTACCTGCTGTTAGGCTTCTACCTGCACCATTACTCCAGGAGCTCCTGCCTCTCTGGCTGCTGGCAGGGAACTGCCTCAGGGCTCTTGTTCCCAGCAACCCACAGCTGTGCTCACTATGTCCTGCCAGGGCTCTCTCTCCCTGGCAGTTTCCACTCTCTAGGAGCAGAGCACTGAGGTTCCCTGCGACTGCCCAAATCCAGGAACACATCCTACAGGCCCCAGGGCCAGAGGACTTAGGGTTCAGATGCCCCCAGTTTTGCTTGATCTTAGCCAAAAGCACATCTTTTTTTGTGTGTGTGGCCCTTAAAAAACAGTTGTTCCCCCAGGAGAGAATAAGCACTAGGTTTGAAGGTACTGCAATATGGGACTGGCACTTGGAGAGGCCAGAGCAAGCTCTGATACCCTCCCCTGGTGCCAAAAATGCTGATGGGAACCTGTTTTTAACATTTTTTGGCCCTTAAAAATGGGTGGGTGTTCCCTCTACAGGAAACTGGCGCCAAGCCTGGAGGTACTGCAATATCAAGCCACCATCAGGAGGGCCAGAGCCCAGCACTGGCACCCTCTTTTTTGTGCCAAAATTACTACAATTGATATGCTGATGGGAACCTGCCACAAGGATAAGTCAGTGTAACCTATCTGAATAAGATATATAGTAGTGCCTAATGTGCTGAATCGTCTTTAGTGCCAACCCTTTTTCAAGTCACGGTGAGCCACTATGTTGCATACATTTCAAGTTCCTTTTTACTCCCATATCTGAGCTGCACCTTCTTTCTCACTTCCAATGATTCCTGTTTCTTCACCAACCTTAAATGTCTGGCAAATATTATCAAATGGGGCCCCAAACAGTTGAGCCAGAATGCCTCTGTTGTCCCTTGCTCAGCGTGCTGCACATGACTAATGTTGTCCTGTCCTCCATGAGGTGGAGCTGGACCAGTTTGTCTTGTGCTTCATCTTGCATGTACATTTTTGGAGGATCCCAGGACTTGTAACAAGAACACTTGGTTCCAGTCATGAGTGGGGGGCTAACTAGCACATGGATCCTTTGTGGTTGTATCTGGAATTTATACACATACTGAGCAGTGCTGAGCTGGGGTTACCATGTCTTTAAATGTTGACTTTACTGGGGCCCAGCCCAATGAACTATGCAGCAAATCATGAACCTTTTGGCTTTTGACCAATATCATGTATAGTTTGTATTATATAAGTGGGTATAAAAGTGCTGCTTAAAAGTGTGTTTATGGAGTTACCCTTGATAAAACTTGTAGCAGTTTCAAAAAAGGCAAAATACATCACTTATGGAATAACTAAGTCTATGGCCACCTGTAGTGATTTTCAAATTTTGCCTCACATTTCTATGTGCTCAGTGAGAGCAGAGTTACAAAGTAAGGTGTAGGGGAAGAAGTTGGGGAAGGCAAGGGGGCTAACTGGCTGCCCTCCCCTAATTTATTTTCCCTGCTGTAGCAGTGGGAGGGGAAGAAATTCAAAGTCAACCTCCAATAATTAGATTCTAAATCTGGAAAATTATAACAAATTTTTACATTTTCTAGATATAGAATCTAATTTTGGGGGGTTGTCTTATAGTCAGGGTAATCTGGTATTCAAGTAAATATAATAATTTCAACTACAAAACTTGGACTTCACCTCCTTTTTCAGTTTAAGGGATTTATGTTTTAGAACATATATAGAATATGATTTAAACAGAGTTATAACTTGCTGCCTCTTTTTCTAGCTTTCTTTTATTCACCCTGTTTAAAAAGAATTAGCAGATAGAAATTAGAAAGTAGCCAAAAACACGAAGAATGCTTAGTTTTGTTTTGTTTTAATGATACTAATTTAAGAATATCTAAATCTGGTGTCACACAAGGCCTCATCCCACAAAACTTGTGGACACCTAGTTAAGTTTACAAGTATGTAAAATATAATTTTATAAAGTATTTGGCACTACTGGGCTTTGGTAATTATTCAGTCTGCGTTCTGGCAAAATTCCTGTTTGATTTTAATGGGGGCTGATTAAGTAGGGTTTCAGGATTTTGGCCTGAAGGGAACAAAACAACAACTCTTAATTTACCCTTTCAAAATCTATTTTTCCCCTTTGTAAAATTCTCTGTCACATCCTACTTCACTGACAGCATTTCATAACAAATTGCTTTCTGGCATCTTTGGCTCCATTGTTTCTCCATAAACACTGTTTAACAACAAATTAAAATTTTATTTCTGTGCCAAGAGCCCTAAAAAGACTGCCTGGTCCTGGGAACAGGCAAAATATATTTGTGAGCTTCAGTAAATTTAGCTTTACAGTCCATCATTTGGGAATACTGATCTGCAGCTGGGCAGGATCTTTTTGTGTATTGCTTGATTTTGGAATGAATGCTTCACAGTACAGTTTGAAATGAGAGTTTCATTATAGTTTCTCTAAATCTCAAAAGAGAAACAGTAATTTCTTTAAGCAATCCATTGATTGTGGAGTACACTCAAACTATATTTGTCTCATTAAACACAGGCTATAACACCTTTGTGTCTTAGGTGCAAACCTTTTTTCAACAATGTGAATAAAAGTGTATAATTCTGACATGCTCTTACTTGTAGGATCACATCAGATATTGTTCAAGCACATTGAGATAGCTGATGAGCACATATGAAAATGTAAGCAAATTTTTTGTAATTTTTTTGTCATTGATTTTTCATAGCTGAACATGTCTGTTGGAGGAGTTGTCGTTAATTAGCTTCCTTTAAAGAAACAATTGCTACACCATCATGGATCATATTACCATGCAACTTTGGTGATTTGCCACATGCCATGAGGAACATAACGTGGAGAATAAGCAGTAGATTGAAATTTGTCATTGCAGTTTGTATGTGCTATTTGGTAAATGCTGCAAAATAACACGTATGTTCACCGAAATCAGCTGTGTCCACAAATGAGTTATGATAAAAATATAGGGCTAGATTAGCTACAAACAGTGTTTGCCATCATAATCCCCCCAGCTCTAACGAAGATTCCTCTTGGGTCTTAAAGAAAAGAGGGAGAAGAAAAGAAAATGAACATAATTGATACAAGGTCCAGCTATCAGAGGGCACAAAATAGGGAGCGGGGAGGGCACTAAGTAGATAACCAACAGGCATCCACTTTGCTACAAAAGTCAAATAACCAAATGAATACAAAGAAACATTTTTAAGTCAGATCCCAAATACTTTACATTTATTGCTGGAAGTTTGTGGAGATTTTCTGGAAGGGCAGAGTTTATAAAAGTGGAAACAAGGTTCCAGGAAAATGTTAAAAATTAAATTTATAGAGGGATTGCTGCAAACAGTCTCTCTTCTTACTAGATATTCTCTGTGATGTGCAGCATAGAACAGTCAGATCTAGCTGAATAGATTCTGTGTTGCATTTATAAACAGCTTTGATTCAGTAAAGATCTGCCAGCTGTTTTATATTCTGAAAACTTACTCTTGTATTATATTGGGAGTTGAATTTGTTGGACCATTTATAGTTTGAATTGATTCATGTTTTAAAACTCTAAATAAACTGCAGCATATGAAATGACTTAATGAACCAGGTTTGAAAGGTTTCTAAATCCCTGACTGTCCCTTTGTCCATATTCTAGCTTTGAAGGTCTGTTTTCCTATTAGCGCTTGAGATATTTATCAAGTAAAGTTCGGTTGGTGTTAATGGAAGTCTTGCACACAAATTTCACCTTTGCTCTCAAATCTGCAGGGAGAATAGATCCCTTCTAAATGGAAAATACCAAACTTTGTTCTGGGGGATGGAAGCAAACTCATTTAGAAGTGAAATTATTAAACTCTTTAGGAAAAGATTTCTGAAGTGATTAGAGCTGCACTGTCATTTTCTTTGGAAAGCCAAAACATCATAGTAAATGTCATAAACAAAACACTGTAAATCATTTCAGCATTAAAGATTACTTGAGCAAATGTTGAGTAGAGAGACAAATGGGAAAGGAGGACTAAGGAAAATAAATGAGAGTTCAGTGTAAATTGGAGTAGGTTTTTCAACTAAAAATTTCATAGTCTTAAGGGACCCTATTTCCCTCACAGCATATGTCAGCATCCTTAGAATCGTAAAACTTCAAACTGTCTTTTTGACAACTGAATATATTTATTCCTAGGCCAAGAAGTATTTTCAAGAGCTTGGAATGTGTTTTATTCTTTAAAACAAGCAAAAAGTATGCCGCACACTATATATTTTTTAAAAGTAAAAAATACTATATATTATTTATTATTGTATACAATTATTATAAATATTATATAGAAGAACAGGCTATTGGGAGGTGGGAGGGTTCTTCTTTAAAGAGAGAGACTTAATTTCTTTGCTTTGAATCCAGATGTTGATAGTAGAGTTAACTTGAGTTGGAGTTTGTCAGTGATATTTCTTCTTTCAGCTAATGACAGTTTGTCTAAATCAACATTTCTTGCATTAATAGCTGTATCACTTCTGACAGGAAAGCCTTTTTGGGTCCTGAATGCATTCTCTGGGCAGTGAAGGGGTGCCTGTCCGAGTATAGCTGGGGAATAGTAGGGTAGTGACTTGGGATGAGGGCCACCAAGGTTTGAGTTCCTGCTCTGCCTGATTAAGACTAAAGATAACTCTTCCACAATGACCTGATATCCAGGCTCTTTAGGGTGGGAATGTCTCCTGCTCTATTTTGCCTAAATATTTATTCATTGATGCAGGGCTTGAACCTGAGTTTCCCATAACCCAGGTAAAGTCAGGGTACCCATCAGTACTGAACATAGTAACTCTCTTTGTAGTCGCTTATGTCTCTATTAATATGTTTCTTTCCCTCTCTTAAGATTTTTCACTTCATATTCATGCACAGGCTGTCTGATTTTGAGGACTTAGTCTTCTTTTTTAATGAAGTTATGATTTAAAAAAGAAATCAAGTGAAACCATTCAAAAGCAAATTCAGTGGTTTCTGATTTGAAACCTTGTGCTCATAATTTAAAAGTGTCACTTTGACAGGGTTCTGTTGAAGCCTGTGACTTCTCCAAAGACATAAAGATGAATTAATGTTACTAATTTGTAAAATGTAAATGAATAGGAACTGTGGGAGGTACTATCTGTGAGGATCTAGACCTCAATTTTTCTTCAAGCAATTTTAGGTTGAAATCAACAGCTGAAGAATAAGTAAAACCCAAATAAAACTGTGACTGCTTTTGCCTTTAGACCAACACGGCTACAGTGTACATCCCTAAACTTTGAATAGGCATTTCAGATTCTGGCCCATTCCAGCTGTCATGGGAAAACTAGAACTGTAAAAGCATTTCTTCTTAATTTGAAAACATTTTTTATTAATGATTACCCTCCTTGTGCAAAGCAGTAACAGAGGTTATGCTAACTAAATTAAAGTTTTAAAATTTACCATAAAATCTGCTTTCTGTTTAAATTAAGATGGACTATGTTTTTGCCAGTGTATCCCTAAGCTGCATCTCAGACAGGATTTTTTGGCATTGAGTAACACTGCAGTTAGAAAATTAAATCCTGATTATGATTCCATTAAGTGACTTTATATATAAGAACAGAGTCCATTCATAGCATCTAACAAAGTAGTCTTCAGCTATGAAAACTTTTACCTTTCTGAATGATTTAGTCTTAAAAAGTGGCACTCTGCCCTGACTTCATTTATACCAGTAACTAAGATTAAGAAGCTGCTTCATATACAGCAGGAGAGTAATTGTTGCTTTATCCATCCAGTAGTGTAAAGGCAGAAGTGGGATCTTTTAGTGTAGGAAAGATTTCATTTTTCTGAAGGAAAAATATGGTTCTTACAAAATAAAACATATCAAGTGGTGTAGGG